TTGTCCAGTTCTCCCAGCACCATTTGTTAAAGAGACTGTCTTTTTTCCATTGGATGTTCTTTCCTGCTTTGTCAAAGATGAGTTGGCCATACGTTTGTGGGTCTAGTTCTGGGGTTTCTATTCTATTCCATTGGTCTATGTGTCTGTTTTTGTGCCATGTGATTTTAATGACAAAGAAAATAATCAGTAAAAAGATGTTTCCAAGGGAATAAAGGAGGGAGTGGGATCTTACAATATTAGTTGAGAAGACTTAGCAGGAAGTGTTAGCCTAGTAGGTGTCAGACTGTGCTATGTACCTTGCTGAAGTCATTTCATTTAAAATAATTTCATCCTCGGAGATTAAGTGTCCGACTTCAGCTCAGATCACGAACCTTGTGTCAGAGCCCACTTTAAATCCTCTATCCCCCTCTCTCTCTGTCTCTCTCCCACTCACTCTCTCTCTCTCTAAAAAATAAATAAACATTAATAAAGTAAAGTAAAGTAAAGTAAAGTAAAGTAAAGTAAAGTAAAGTAAAGTAAAGTAAAGTAAAGTAAAATAATTTCATCCTCCTGAAATCTCTATGAGACCCAGATATCCCTCTGAAGTTCAGGACAGCTGGGCTCTGGTGAGAGCTCTCTTCTGGGTTGTAGACTGCCAACTTCTCATCATAGCTTCACATTCTTCACAGAGAAGAGAGTGCTGAGCTTTCCATCCCCTTGTAAGGGCACCAATCTCATCACCCCCAAGACTGCATCCAAACCTCCCAAAGACCCCACCTCCAGATACCATCACAATGGAGATTAGGCTTCAACATATGAATCTGGAAGGGTCCACAGCACCATGTGAATTAAATCCAGCTTTCTCCCTATCCCATACCTGAACCCTCTTGGCTATATCACTATCACTACAGATTCATGACTACTGACCTCAAGTGTAGCCTTTCTGTGCCCAGCAATTATACTTCACTATCTATGTCTCTCATTCACTCTCCTGCTTCCACTCTTCATCGCTCTGACCTGGTGACTTTGCTTCCTATTTCATCCAGAAAAATCAGGAAAAAAGCAATCAGAAGAACAATTCCACTAACTCCCACTACTGCATTTATCCACTTTCCTGCATCGGTGCCCATATGCTCTGCCCTGCATCCTGTTACTATGAACTGCTCATGTTCCTACCCAAGGCCAACACCTCCTCTCTCCCCCTTTCTATTGGATCATTCCCATTCAATGTCAAACATTTATAATCTATTTCATCTTACCATAAACAAAGCAAAAACTAGAACCTTCACTTGCATTCCTATCCCCTCCAGTTCTAGCTACCACCACATTTCTGTGCCTTTCTAGAAAAGCTCCTCAAAAGAGTTATCTGTTCCCATGCTCAAATTCCTCTACTCCGACCTCCTTAATCCTCTTCAGATGGGCTCACCACTCATCATTATGGTGAAACTGTCCCTATCGAGGACACCGATGGTCTTCATGTTGTCAAATGCAAAAATATATCCCCATGCCCCATCTTCTGGGCCTCTCAGCATTTAACCCAGCGAATGTTGCCTACCTGATGTGGAAACCTTGTTTAGCTTCCAGAACACCACACTCATGACTTTTTTTCCTTTCTCGCTAATTGTTCCTTCTTTGTTACCTTTGCTGGTTCATTCTCAACACCCCAAGCAAAAGCCATTCACATTTAATGCCCTCTAATGTAAAATAAATAATGTAGTTTGTTTTTCAGCAAATTTGCCTTCTTGATTATATCTTCTTATCTGTAATTTAATTAGCTTTCATTCTCAGCATATACCAACTGGCTAAAGGAGGAGTCTTAGAGGTACGCTGGGTGGTAAAGGGAAACTATTTCAGGATTGCCAGGCCTGATCTTCACAGATAACCTTGTTACTCATCAGTCCTTGTGTGTCCTCTCTGTTGTAGAGTGTTCCTGTCATCCAGTGGGATCAGCTGTCCTTCCTTTCAGCTCAGTGACCTTCTGTGACCCCAGCAATGGTGACTGCCCTTGCAAGCCTGGGGTGGCAGGGCCACATTGTGACAGGTGTATGGTGGGGTACTGGGGCTTCGGAGACTATGGCTGCAGGCCCTGTGACTGCGCAGGGAGCTGTGACCCACTCACAGGCGATTGCATCAGCAGGTGAGTGCACATGGCTCTTGCTCTGTCTCTGTGTCCTTTGGATTCTTTTGAAGATCTAGTAGTGACTTAGAAAGTCTTACATGCTGTCAGTGGAGCAAAGATGCATTTGCACAGCTCTTTGAAGAATCTTCGTCAAATTTGTTCTTGCAAGATTCTCGAGATGGTCTGGTTCATTTTACAAAATAAATTATTAATCTTAACAATAGTCCCTTAAAACACTATTTCTGAAAACTAAAGGGATGGGAAAGTACCTGATTAGATCTACAGCTCCATAAATACATTCATTTCATTCAAGTTCTAAGAAATTCCTTAACTTCATCATTTTCTATTTTATTAGCAGCACAGACATGGACTGGTATCATGAAATTCCTGACCTCCATTCCATGAACAATAAAAGTGAACCAGCCTGGGAGTGGGAGGGTGAGCAAGGATTTTCTGCACTTCGACACTCAGGTGAGATGATAGATATAACCAGATACCATATTTCCAGGTCTGGTCTTGAGTAACAGTGATTTGTGACAAACCAGGAAACAACTCTTGTATCCTATGAGGGGGATGCTTTAGCTCTGAGGTTAATAAAGTAGTGACTCCCGTAAGTATAGAACTATTCAATTTAGTTAAGGAGTATTTTAACAAGCTTCTGTTTATTTTCTGATTATTAGAGGAACATATATAATTAGTATAGAAAATCTGGAAAATTCAAAACATCACAGTAAAAAAAAAAATCCAAATCTCATTACCCAAGCTGTTAGTGTTTTGGTGTGTCTTTCTCTGTCTAAAATACACTCTTTTACAGAGGTGAGAGCTACTGAATATGTCACGTTTGGAAATGTAGAGATCCTTTTAAAGGAAAAATGTTCTTACAGACCTAGTGTAATTTAATATGCACAAAGGCAGGTGTGAACTCCTTATGTTTATATCTTTTATACAACTAGAAGACAATAAAACTAACAAAATTCAAATTAACACCATTAATTCAAGATGAAAAATAATTTTACTGAAGCCAAAGCACTCTTCACTACATAAATATGGTTCTTTAAGTCTGCCAGGTCTATACTACTGTTTCCTCTCAGTTTTCCTATGATGTTTATCTGTTCCTTCGTTTGATGAGTATGCCATAATATTGGTGTGAATACATGATTTCTGTGTTCATCCTGCCTCTATTCTTTTCTTGTAGAAAGTTGGTGCTATTCACCACAAACACAAATGTGGGCATGAGATCTTGTGTCAGCATTTGGTTGTAAAGAGCTCCCCAAATGATACAAATGAAACTTATAATAAGTTTTTTAACTTTTTTATTGGGGTATAATTCACATATATCATATTAGTTTAGGTGTACAATATAATGATTCAATATTTGTGTGTACTGTGAAATGGTCACCAAAAAAATTCTTTGTATTAAACATTACAAATGCCCAAAATGTATTATGAACACCCATATACACACACCTATCAAACTTTAAGTTTTGCCATAATTGTTTTATATTTTCATTTAAATTTTAAAGTGTTATACATACATTTGAAGGCCTGTATCAATCTCCAACTTCACTAGCCTCCCCTACTCCACAGAGTAATCGCCACCCTGAATTTTGGTATTTATCATTCACTTTCATATTTTTACTATTTTAATACACATATACATAGAGTGTTTTTAGGACTGCATGTACATAACTTACCTACCCCTTTAAAGCTTTTTTTGACCTAAATATGTATTTTTTTAGATTTGTGCATTCTATTATTTGAATATATCACTTTTTATTCTCTCATTATTTGCCATTTAGGATATTTCCAATTCCTAATTTTCCATTGTTACATGTAATACTACCACAAATGTCCTCTTAAATGTAACTTTGTGCACTTGAGAAGGACTTTCACTAGAGCAGGGGCTGGTAAACTGTCCCTCAGACCAAATTGGGCCTGCCATCTGTTTTTCTACAGCCCACAAACTACCTGCTCTAAGGTTTAGATGGTTATAGCTTAAATAGTTACATAAGTGGGGCACCTGGGTGGCTCAGTTGTTTAAGGGTCCAACTTTGGCTCAGGTCATGGTCTCACGGCTCATGGGTTCTAGCCCTGTGTTGGGCTCTGCGCTGACAACCTAGAGCCTGGAGCCTGCTTCAGATTCTGTGTCTCCCTCTCTCTCTCTCTCTGCCCCTCCCCACTTGTGCTCTCTCTCTCCCTCTCTCTCTCTTTCTCTCTCTCACACTCTCTCATGTGTGTGCATGCTCTCTCTCTCTCTCTCTCTCTCAAAATAAACTTTAAAAACATAAAATAAATAGTTATATAAGTACCTACATCAAAATCTTTAATTTTGTCTCTTAGGCCAACATATTTGTTATCTGTCCCTTTATAGAAAACGTTTGCTGAGCCTTCTTCTAGGGTACAACCTAGCCACTGTTGGGTCACAAGTATGCTTTTTATCAGATTTACCACATACTGCCAAGTAGCTCTCCAAAGCAGTTGTACAGATTTGCATTCCACCACCAGAGATGACATCCTGCTGCTTGTTCCACATCCTCACTGATACTTCGTATTTATGTAACAAACTTGTGTGTAACACATATGAGGGGCCAAGGACTATTCTACCTCACTCACTCAGGCACAGTTCAACTCCTTTAACATTTTCCGACTTCCAAAGTTAACATTATCAAACCTCTCAACTTTTGCCCATCTGGTGAGTGTGAAATGGGACCCCGCCGTTATAAGTTGTATTTTCCTGATTACTAACAGTTTTAGTAGCTTTTCACGGTTTCTTGGCCATTCAGGTCTCTTATTCTGTGTATTTCCAATTCGTAATTTTCTCACTACTTAGTAGTTCTTTGTAAATTCATTCATCTATCCAACAAATATTTATTGCATACCCATACTATGTGTCAGTACTGTAAATATAGTAATAGAACAAAACAGACAAAAATCCCAGACTCCAAGGAGTTTACATTCTTGTGGAGGAAGACAATAAATAAATAAATAAAATTTTGTGTCATGTTATCTAATATAATAGAGAAATAAAGCAAGGAGGGAGATAATAAATGGTTGGGAGGGGCATACTTTTAAATAGGGTGATCAAGGAAAGTCTTTTGAAGGTGATGTTTGCAGAAGAACACCTGAAAAAGGTAAGAGTGAGCTATACAGATAAAAGAGGGAAGAGAGTTTAGGCAGAAGATACTGCAAGTGCAAAAGCCCTGTGGTGAGCAAAGAGACCAGGGTGATTGGGGCAGAGCAAGAAACCACAATTTTAATTCATTTTCATAGAGAACTTGTGGACTCTTCAAGAATCAAGAATCCAAATTTGAGAAATACTGGTATTTGCAATTCTGTGTCATTTTTTTTTTCACTTAACCTGATCTTAGGATCCTTATCCTAATGTTTTCATTTTAGGTCACAACAAGAAAGAAGGTGGGAAAGATAAAGAAACACAAAGTTGTCATATTTATCTTTTCAGCATTTGAAAAAGAAAAAATCTTTCTCATTAATTTTTTGCCTCAATGCTAAATAGTCTGAATTCTATAATTTTAATTTTAACCACTTGCGAAAGTTTTCTTCTATTTCTCTAACACAATGATTTTCATAATTATCCAACTTTGTCTGCTAAGCCAAATCTGTGAAAATCAACTTTTTAGCATGATAGGACATTCATTAAGCCAATCACATTACTAGGGAGCTGGCGACACACCAATTAAGCACGTAACTTGCTGGCATCAGAATGACTCCAGACTCACATCCACAACAGCTGTTAGGTCTGTGATATCCCCCAGAGAGTCTCTGAAATTCATCTGGAGGGGCTCCAGATTGAGGAAGACATTGTTCAGTTTCCTGCTAAACAGCAAAGTTCCCACTGGATATAGAATAATGCTCCTGGGCACCTTTTACCAACAAAGAAGTGATAATCAGTTTCCTAAGCACCACAGTTCATTCTCGAATACATGTGCCTGCCTACCTATTTACGTACCATAAGTTTCCATAACTAGAAGTGTAATGCACTATACCAGCAAGATACCCTTAATTTCTACCACTTCTTGTGAGACAGAGAACATTAGATACATACTTTTACCTCCTGTACAACAAATCTGGCTTTAACTAGTACCACAGAACTTATATAACAAAACTGGCTTGAACTAGTACTATAGAATTTGTTCAACACAACTGGCTTTAGCTGGTACCACAGAACTGTAAATGATGTTTCTCATAACCCAGTATTAACTAACTAGGTTTTTCTCCCCTTCCAGATTTCCTTTTAGAAAACACATCTGGGGGCACCTGGGTGGCTCAGTCAGTTAAGCGCCCAGCTTCAGCTCAGGTCATGATCTCACAGTTCACGAGTTTGAAGCCCATGTCAGGCTCTGTGCTAACAGCTCGGAGCCTGGAGCCTGCTTTGGATTCTCTCTCCCTTGCTCTCTAACCATCCCCCGCTTGCACTCTGTCTCTCTCGTGCTCAAATATAAATAAGTGTTAAAAAATTTTTAAAAAAAGAAAACACCTCTGGGTTAAATAAAGCCTGATCAACAGAGATTCATTCAAAAACAAATTTGAATGTCTGATTTCTTAACATGAAAAAGGGGAGTATTGGAAAGCAGCCACAGAATATCTTCAAATAACAGAACTTTGTATATTCTTGTTGGCTGAAGGACTAAAAAGAACATAAGTTAAGGAATAATACATGCCCTTTGGAGCTCAATTGGTTTTTTTAGCATGGTGGTTACCATACTCTCCAGCTTTGGTGGAATTATCAAAGGCCCTGGGCTACCTACTTAGGTTACTACAATTCCTGAAGGAGTAACCATCTCTGCTATGTTTAGATGATACGCAATATTATTTAACAAATCACAACAGCTAGTTTTAAGCACCTGTGATTTCTCATTCCCACTATTTAATTCCACTGTGATTTTCCACTGGCAAAATCTCATTCTCTGGTTTCTAACAGCTTTGGTCAGAGTCAGCATGTCACTATTTGCCACATTACCATGTCTACCCAACCTCATCTCACCGGAATCCTACTCCCATTTCCACCTGCGTATTCTGTCAGCAACTCTAAGTCATTATATTCTCCTCATACTAGACCTCTGTTGTTTCTGCCTACCCAGATCCATTTCCCCCTCTTTATTCCTGCTATTTCTGTGGCAGCTTAACCCAAACTTTCTCTAGGGAACCAGCCTTCCCCCATTTAGTAAAGTCTTGGTGAGGCCAATCAGATGTTCTCTCCCCGGAATTTATTTATTTATTTATTTATTTTTATGCTTTGGCTCTCTCCCCGGAATTTAAATTGTGAGCTGAAAGTGACAAAGTCTGAAAGTGATCACAGTTCGTGATTCCAATGACACAGCCATAAAAGAGACTGTATAACAGTTCCTGGTACCTAGATCTCTGGCACTGTCCTGATTCTTGTCTTTTCTGAGTTCTGGTTCTTCAGCTTTTTCTCCTTTCTATGAGCTACTCCATATCCTTTCAAAAATTAAGTTAAACCATTGGTTGCTACCAAAAACCATAAGTTACACACTCCTGAAGTGTTCTCCTCCTAACGTCTCTATTTCTGTTAGTAATACTTTAGTCTTCTGTCATCTTAGCTGAAACTCCAAGTTCATCCTTAGGCTTCCTCTTCCCTTGCTGTAATCCAATCCATTGATAAGATTTGTAGACCCTAACTCTGCATCCTCCCTTAATATTCCTTCTTTTCTACACCCACAGCCATTTCTTTAGTTCAGACCTACATTTCATCTGACTTAGGGAGACAGTACAGTGGAAAGATCAGGGACTTCAGATTCTCCCAGACCCTGGCTTAAAATCTGGCTTTTCTACTTGTTAGCTTTGCTGCCTTGGATAAGCTAATTAACTTCTTTGAGCCTTTATGTTTTCATTTGTTAATAAAGCCTGTCCCATAAGGTTATTATAAATATTAAACAAGACCATATAAAGTTCCTTACATAGTTTATGGCTTATAGTTGGCACTCAATTCAGTTACTGTTGTTACCATCAATATCATCATCTTCTAATTGGTCCCCATCTCCATTTTCTCTCTTTTCCGGTACTTTTGATATGGTAATGCCAGGTTAATTTTCATATATATACATATATATGTATATATATACATATATATGTATATATATGTATATATGTATATATATACGTATATATATTTAATTCATGTAACTTCTTTAATCTGATAAACTTCAAAAATTCGTCTTTATCAATGGGCAAAATGGGTGAAGGAGAGCAGGAGATACAGGCTTCCAGTTATGTAATGAATAAGTCATGGGAATAAAAGCCACCACTTAGGGAATAGTCAATGATACTGTAATAGCATTGCATGGTGACAGATGGTAGCTACATTTGTGGT